GCACTGACAACTCGCGTGCCAAATAGAGACATTCTCATATAGAAGGCAAGTAAGCAAGGGTATACATCTATACTCAACAATATCAAGAAAATCTCTTATCCAATAATAGTGCTTAACTACGTGTATGCTTGTGCAAGTGTCCTAACATAGTTCATACCAGCTAGTGAGCATAAGGAAAAAGAACGGACAGCACGTAGAATATTTTCTCATAACTTTCACAAGATAAAGCTCACACAGGTAAGTGTACCACTACACAAATATCAACAACAAGAATGCCCCCAGGCCATCACAAATCATCACAAATCAATCCTTGACATAGCCCACCTTGTCTCGCCACGTGTGCAATAGTAAAATAAATGCCCGCCTTATCTCGCCACACGTGCATAATAATGTTCCCACATTGTCTCGCCACATGCGCAACCCACATATATATATCCCGTCTTGTCACGCCGAATGTGCAAATATCAATAGTAACAATAGCACATCAGAAATCTCGTGCAACCCCATAACACTCGCACGGCAGAAACCTCGTGCATTACAATAACAACAACCGCACGGCAGAAACCTCGTGCATCACAATAACAACAACCACATGGAAGAAACCTCGTACATCACAACAACAAGTATAACAGCAACAATGACAATAATACAAGGGTACGACAAATAAGTCAACTCAGAGATTTCAAAATTTAAAGAAATGGAGGAACCAATTCACAAGGAGTAGCCACAATCGGGGAATGCTAGTCATAATAAGAACATCTCAACAAGAAAGGAAATACTATATAACAATGGTCCACAATATACAGTACGACAACGAGGAAGTTAACACAAGTCGAATAATTCCAAATAAGGATAAGTCAACCAAAATATAGGGTATCTAACTTCTTTTAAGGTTGGGCAATTGGGAAAGAGATACAACAAATTCAGCTAAGAAGAAGCAGCGGAAAGGTAACCATAACCTCAATTAAGGCTGAACAATTACATAAGAGATAGTAATAATTTTAATTAAAGATAAGCAGTTAGGGAAAGGATAACATGGCAATAGAAAGGTAACAATTTCAGTTAAGGCACATATGAATTAAATAAGTAATAAGAGTGAATCATGAAGCAATTAATTCTAATCAAGCAAGTAGAGGTGAAACTAGCAATTAAGAAGCGCAATCATAACAAGAACAACTGCATATTCAGTGAATACAAGGGCCTAAGGACCCTAAAAGGCCAATTTTCCACAAATAAGTCTGAGCACGTACTCGTCACCTCGCGTACGCGGACTACAATTAGCCTAGAAGACTCAAATCCTAAAGGGTAGTTACCCCACACGAAGTTAGGCAAGATACTTACCACAAAGAAGACAGACCGATACTCAAAAATGAACTTCTCGGTGAAATGACCTCCGGACGGCTCAAATCTAATCAAAATAACTTCAAAGCACAAATAAAACTCATAAGAAACTATTCCGGATCATAAAGCTCAATCTTTATCAAATCTAAAAATAGACCCAAAAGTCGACCCCCGGGCCCGCACCTCGAAACCAGACAAATTTCACAAAACCCGAATACCCATTCCGATACGAGTTTAACCATACTAAAATTTTTAAATTCTGATACCAATTCGTCCCTCAAATCATGATTTTTTATTTTGAAAGTTTTCTTCAACCCATTTTCCTCAACTCAAAACACAAATTAAATGATAAAAAATAAAGATACAATCATGGAATATAATAAATTCTAGGTGAAGAACACTTACCCAATCGATTTGCTTGAAAATCCCACAAAGAATCGCTCAAAATCGAGATCCACAAGTAAAGATATGATAAAAAATGGCCTAACCCTCGATTTGAAAAATATATTCTGCTGCTCAGGTGTTAAAGCATCGCGAATGCGGAAGACTACTCGCGTTCGCAAAGAAGGAAAAATGAAGGCTGCCCGGATATGCTTCGCGAACGCGAAAGATGGCTCGCGAACGCGGAGAGGAAATTTTGATGGTCCAATGACTGGGCTACGCGAACGCGTGAAGGGGTGCGCGAACGCGGAGGAGGGGGTGGCATACCTTCGCGAACGCGGGAAGAGAGACGCGAACGCGAAGAGTAAAAAGTCTCCAGTACCCAGCTCTTATTTTCTACTATGCGAACGCGATGGAGAGGATGCAAACACGAAGAAGGGGGAGGCAGGCTTCCGCGATCGCAAAAGGAAGCATGCGAATGCGAAGAACAAATATTCCTTCCTCCAAAGTTACTCTTCGCGAACGCAGAAGAACAGACGCGAAAGCGAAAGAGAAAATCAGATGACAGATTCAGCAGTTCAAAAATAGAAGAAAATGGCATGTAGCCCATCCGAAACACACTTGAGGCCCCCGGTACCCCGTCTAAACATACCAACAAGTTTTATAACCTAACACGGACTCGCTCGAGGTCTCAAATCACATCAAACAGCATCAAAACTACGAATCGCACCATGAATCGAACTTATGAACTTTCAATTCTTCCAACTTCTAAACCTCGCGCCGAAACCTATCAATTCAACTCGGAATGACGTCAAATTTTGCAGGCGAATCTCAAATGACATAATGGAGTTGTTCCAACTCTCGGAATCACATTCCGACCCTGATATCAAAAAGTTCACTTCCGGTCAAAATCTCCGAAAATTCGACTTTCGTCATTTCAAGCCTAAATCAACTATAGACCTCAAATTCACCGTCCGGACACGCTCCTAAGTCCAAAATCACCCAACGGAGCTAACAGAACCATCGGAACTCTATTCCGGAGTCATCTTCATATAGTTCCAACTACGGTCAAAATCCTAAGACTTAAGCTTCCATTTTAGGGACTAAGTATCCCAAATCACTCTGAATCATCCGGTAACTGAATTCAACCACGCACGCAAGTCAATACACATAATACCAGGCTGCTCAGGGCCTTATGCCGCCGAACGGGACTTAAATTCTCAAAATGACCGACCGGGTCGTAACAAAATGCTTGTAGAATTAATGATTGATCAAGATGGAATCTGTCAACTCTTGGTAATGAGTTTAAATTGCATGTTGTCATGAATTATAAACGACCAAACTAAGACCTTGGTCAGGGCAATTGAATGAAAGAAGAAAAGAGTTTTTTAGATCACTCAATGGTCGATTATATTTGACATGAACACATAGTTGGCCGCCTTTTAGAATTTGACAGTTGATACATATCCTAGGGTGACCCAGAGCTATAAGGACACAGAAGGAATTACTACATTATTCTTCTACTGATTCTGGAGAGTAAATTGTATACTTCATTCTATCCGGACGTTTGGGAGTGTTGCTAAACGCCACCCTTGATTAGTATATTGATATGATCAATTTACTACCGACTTAGTATTGAATCTATGGGGTCGCACACTAATGAGTGTTCTGATCTTTGCTAAAAGATTAATTACTTTGTTATTTGATAATTAAATTAAAAGTCAAATAAATTTAGTTATTAGTCCAAATAAAATATTATTATATTCTTTGCTAGCACAGATGATATAATTAATATTGTGAACAAATTGAAGTTTTTTATTTGGAATAGAAAATTAAATTATATCTATTGGTTGAAATATATGTGTGATATATATAATATAAAATAGTGCTAATTTATATAAAGGTTATATATAAATATCAATTTATCCTTACCAATTTTGAATTGGAGATGAAAGTCCACAAAGGACTACGGCATGCACGTGATTCCCATTAGGAATGGGATATATATTTTCCATTGGAAACTTTTATAATGTTTAATTTGGAATTGTAAAGTGACGTATAAGTTGAATCCAACATTAAGTTGGATGGACGAGAATCCAACTCTGAGTTGGAGGAATGGATTCGGCAGTCACGTTACGTGATTTTCCAATTTTCCATAAAATTCAATTAAAGTTTATTTTTAGAATAAACTTTTACTCTAAATAAATTATTACCTCAACCAAATAGGAAAAGGGTTGATAGGTGATGCTATATAAAAGGGGTGATGGAGAAAATTTACCTTTTGTGAAAGTGTACTAATTCTTGAGAACCATTTTGTGAAAGTGAGAGTGTAATCAAGAGAGAAAATACAATTACAGAAATAATGTTTCTTGTTCTTCTACCTTTGAGTTGAGATTTTTGAAAAAAATTTCAGTACAATATTTTTCATTCAATTTGTTCGACGGTTTCATTGATCAAAGAGTTGATAGCAAGGGTCGGTTTCGGTCTGGATACGCATATAGTCTTCGCACTATCGAAGAAATTTTGAAACGAAACTCTCTTCACTAGATATGTATTAGATCCAATCTTTGACATGCAAATAAACTGTAAACACGAAAATATCAAACTTTTACTTACTCACTAAGTTGTATCGCAACAGGAGGAACAAAATATAGGCAAAAGACTACAAAGAATAAGATTAACAACGTAACTACTGAAATCCATGCACAACACCTTAGCAAAATAAATCGCCGGTGAGTGAGAGGAAAAGGGGTTCAGTATACATTTTCAGATGGTAAAATAAAATACGGTACGCGTGTTTTATCAAGAGGAAAACATTATATGTTTTACGGAACAGTGCAGTACAGGTGTTTCTATGGAGAGATAGAGGTACCAATTTTACCCCTGAATAGATTCATAGTTTCAAAATTGTCGTGTTCTTCCCAGGTTTACAACACAATTTAAGTTGCTTTTCGCACCAGCGTTCGTCCACTCCAACTCTCACTTATATATAGTAGTAAAGTAATTTGACAATATTTAGCAATGGGAAGAACCTGATCAGTACTTATTGAATTCAACCAAACTTAATTCTTTTCCAGTTTTTCAAGAAACTTGTGACAATTTTGTTCTTCCCCAATAGTTTTAAGTGAGATTAACCAAACCTTTTTTTTTCAAAAAGAAGAAGATTAACTAATTAAAGCTAAGGAAAGAAAATATACAAAACTAAAGTAGTTCAATGTTATAAATAGTAAACAGACATATTTATAGAAAAAAGAAGACACATTAAATTGTACAATGTATACTCACAAACCAAACGTTTAACAAGAAATAATATTTACATTGTAATCCATGTATTATTAATCCCTACGTAACTAATACTTACGTAACTAATCCCTACATAACTAATTCATGTATAACTGATTCTTGCCTAACTAATTCATGCATAACTTATGTTCGAACCGAACGATCCCAAAGGTTTAGAACCATGCTCCATCAATGCAATTTTTAAGAAATATGCTCCATCGGTGTCTGTCTTGTAGTGTCAATAAAAAGGACAAATAAAAAAAAGAAAAATATAAGGTAAAATCACTTTCTTATAAAACTGTATTTTATGGAGAGAATGTAGTCAAATGTTCTTTTACCGAGTACAATCTAAGATATGCAACTAGACGTCTATACTCCAGCTTCTTATAATTAACGTATATTACTTATCAAAGCAATTAACTAGTATCAAACATTAACAATTTTCTTTTAATTTATAAAAGTGCTTAATGAAAATTTACTCATTCTCCACTAAAAAACTAAAAAGATGAAAACAATTAGATATTTACACTATGCATGTCAACCGCTACTTCACCGGAGCATATCTCAAAATAGAAACAAATACATTGTCGTTAAGAAAACATAGTCAAAGTGTCAAGCTTCTATCGAGAAGCGGTTTCGGCGAACCAAATAGTTTTGACCAAAATCCTGTGTTTGTGCTAAGAAACTCAAAGAATATGTATAAATTGTTTATCCAGTAAACCACTTTTTTTTAGAATTCAGAACCTATAAACTAAAGATTCTGGATCCGCAACTGCTTCTACCCACATACATACTTTACCTTTGCCTGTGGCACCAGCAAGTGTTCCAACCATATAAGGATGAGCAGCCAAACACTACGGAACAGTAGGCATATCATCACTTTACAAAGTACACACAACCTTCTTCTCAACCGTAGAAATGATATCGACTCCATTTTTGTCATCATCAATCTTCTTTTCAATGTTATTAATATTGTCATCAATCACCACTAATTTTTTGAGCTTTCCTTTTTCTTTTATGCTTCTGCTTTTCCTGAATCTTGCCAATGTACCCGTATGAGTCATCCCAGCCCCAGATTCCTCTGTTCCAAAAGTGGATTAGATATTTTACAAGAAAATGGCTCTTTAAAAATGTAACACAGTTTTCTTGTGAACTTGAAAAGAATTTATGTTACCTTAATGTTGAAATATATTCACCATTTAGGTTCTTGTCGGGTATCAGGAACTTCTCCTCATAGTTTTCTCCTCCAAATAGACCAATAGTATTTTCCAAGCTGTGTTAAACTTGAAATTACCAACGTAACTACTGATCAAGGAGATACCAAACAGTTGATAGAATCAAAACAGGCAGTTTTCTCAAGAAAAGTAAGCAGAAGAACAAAACTGATAAAGAGTGGTTTGATGCTTTTACTATGAAGACCTTTTCCTCTTAAAATTTCCTACAAAAACATCTTCACAAGAATATATATATATATACACTTTCTAAAAGCATTAACAATATTCTTTTGAAGCATTTCACTATCAAATATTTGTTTTGAAAATACTTCTACGATTTGAAGTAATTTTGATATCTAAATTCACTGAATTATCAAATTTCATATGACATACTAGTGAAGTTGAACATTTTATTTTTATTTCCTAAATAAGCAGTTTTTATTCCCTCTTTTCTGTCAAATTCTTAAAGCATTTTCTGTATGTAGGAAATTAGGAATCAAAGGGGCTTCACTAGTAGCACAAACCTTGTTGTTGCAAGAAAACTCCCAAAAGGTGTAAAGCACGCGGAATGAATTGGACCGCCATGTCTAATAGTTGTCAATGATTTTGGTTGATCTCTGCTAATACTCCTCAAGTCCCACACAGAGAAAGTCCTAGCTACCAAGCTTGTAACTACAATATTAGGATCATCTGGCATGCAATGTATCGTATTGATTCTCTCTTCGTGCAATCCCCATAATGATAATAGTGTGCTAGCCCTTAAATCAAATATTTTTAACACTCCACAACTTCGTCCCCAAAATATAAAAAGTTTACGTCCTCTACTCGATGACATGTGGAATATAATGCATAAATATCCTGATATACCTCTTTCAAAGCCTCCTTTTCAACATCCAGCAACATAATATGTTGATCATAACTTGAAGTAAATATCTGCAAGTACATATGCAAGAAAAGTTGTTGGATGTCAAACTAATTAACTACTATGATCAATAACCACACTAGAGACATGAAGATGATGTTATATATTCCATGAAAATTGAAATAGCTCATATGCTGTACATGAATAGCTTTTCATTTTCACTGTCAGTTCTCACATATTTTGGGTTTTAGTTAGATTATTATTACAATAGTCATCACAATGTTTTAAAGTCCTAAAAAGATTTAAAGAGGAAAAGTAATATCGAACTTTAAAGGCTTTATGCCAAGCATTACTATGAAATTATATGTCACTAAAAAAACAGGAATTAGCTATGAAAGTTATCGCAGCAACAATTCAACTTCCTACAAGGCGCCTACTTATGTGTAAATATACAGATAGTCCCCACATATATTTCATTTCTAACAGACGTAGTGCAATTCTTTTTCTTTCTTTTGGGTACTTACAAAAACACTATAAAGTTAAAGCTTGTTCGCACCAATTACTAGTTAGCAGAGAAATCTGAAGATTAATATAATCTGACAGACAATAGTATGAATCTTAATTAAGTACTCATAAAAATAGAAAAGCAAAACAGAGTTATCACCTTCAACATGGAGAATGGCTCAATTGAAATTCCAGATATTTTGGAATGGTGAGGTTGAAACAGATAAATTCCAATGTCCCCGTTCTCCTCTTCAAAATCCACGTTCCATANAGATAAATTTCAATGTCCCCGTTCTCCTCTTCAAAATCCACGTTTCATAGCCCAAAATAGCCAAGCTCATCGCCTACAACAATTACTTTCATATTCGCTGCGGAAGAAANCAGCACTCTAACTATCACAAAATAGTGTGATGTTTTCTTGACCAATACCAAGATCTCTAAGCAACCCTTGAAGCCAAATTGCCTCCTTTACAGCCTCCGTAATTGCCATGTACTCTGCCTCAGTAGTAGACAAAGCAACGGTTGATTGCAAAGTAGACTTCCAACTAACTAGTGCATTTGCAATAGTGAAAACATAACCAGTAGTTGATCTACGCTTGTCCAAATTACCCGCATAATTCGAGTCACAATATCCAACCAAATACTGAAAAAGAACAATAAACATGTTCGTCTCATAGAGAGGGTGGCTTGTGCAGCCTCAATTGTAGCTGATGGTGTTCCTACCACTTATAAAGACGCAGTCCAAAGTTCAGAAGAAGATAAGTGGAGGATTGCCATGAATGAAGAAATGCAGTCCCTTCATCAGAATTGCACATGGAAATTGGCCCATCTCCCGAAGGGCAAGAAAGCAATTGGGTGCAAATGGGTATTTGCAAAGAAAGAAGGATTTCCTAACCAAGAAGATGTTCGCTACAAAGCAAGATTGGTGGCCAAAGGGTACGCTCAAAAGGAGGGAATTAATTACAGTGTGGTGTTTTCTCCGGTCATGAAACACTCCTCCATTAGAGTTTTGTTGGCTTTGGTAGCACAGTTGAATTTGGAACTAGTTCAGTTAGATGTAAAAACTGCATTTTTACATGGAGACTTGGAAGAGGAAATCTATATGACTCAGCCAGAAGGATTCAAAGTTGCTGAAAAGGAAAATATGGTGTGCAAACTTGAAAAATCGTTGTACGGATTGAAACAATCTTCTAGACAATGGTACAAACGATTTGATAAGTTTATGTTGCGGTAGAAGTACAAAAGAAGCAAATACGATCATTGTCTGTATTTGCGCAAGCTTGAAGATGGATCCTTCATATATCTTCTCCTATACGTTGATGATATGTTGATAGCTTCCAAAAGTCAAGAGGAAATTGAGAAGTTGAAGATTCAACTAAGAAAGGAGTTTGAGATGAAGGATTTAGGTGAGGCGAAGAAAATTCTTGGCATAGAGATAAAAAGAGATAGACATTTAAAGAAACTCTATCTATCTCAGAAAGAATACTTGAAGAAAGTAATAGATCGATTTGGCATGAATGAGAACACGAATTTGGTTAGCACTCCTCTTGCTCCTCACTTTAAGCTTAGTGCTGCTATGTCGCCGAAGAATGAAGCTGAACAAGAGTATATGTCAAGAGTGCCATATGTGAATGTCGTTGGTAGCTTGATGTATGCAATGGTTTGCACAAGACCTGATATTTCACATGTTATCGGAGTTGTAAGCAGGTATATGCATGATCCAGGAAAGGAGCATTGGCAAGCTGTGAAATGGATTCTACGGTATATTTGTAATACTGTAGATGTTTGATTGATTTTTGAGCAGGAAGATAGTCTGGCTTGCTGGTTGCTATTGATTCAAGTTGTTGTTGGGGTTCCTGAGTTGGAATCTCCCCTTCCACTGACTCTTTTTCCAGGGGAAAATCTTCTATTATTTCCTCGTTTTCTTCCTGTGTTGGGAAAATTAATTTTTCCTCAAACTCCACCTGCTTTGAAGCACCATCAGTTTGTTTGACATCTTCAAATGTCACTTTATCTATTATAGCAGATTCATCAAAGGTAACATCTCTGCTGAATATAACTTTTCGTCTCTGGACACCATAATCGGTATCCTTTGACTCCAGAAGTAATCCCCATAAATATAACTTTCTTTGCCCTCGGATCCAATTTTGACTCTTTCACATGATAATATGCAATTGAGCCAAACA